CGCATATTCATCCCTGGGTTGACTTTCTCCCTCTGCAAGGAAGGTAGCTGAGATCTGCTGAGCTGGGCAAATCAGGCTAAGTCAGTTTTTCCACAGGGCTTTGCCTCTTCGTTAGGACGGAACCCAGTCGATGCTGGAGGCTTTAGCCTTTTCGTGAAATAAATTCCCCAAAGCCAGTGCAGGGGAAGCACACTTAAAAAGTGGGGGATGCAAACTAGGCACAGAAAATCAGCGCTTGAGGAAAAAAATGAGCACAAGCTTGTACACATTTTAAAATGATGATTGCAAAATATCTTTGGCTATAATCATCATTCCCAACTCTACCAATGGATGTAACTACTGGTTTTTTTCTTTCACTGTGAATAGAAGAAACCTTAAATAAATGGCTTGACATGCCTGTGACATCTAGACCTATTATGATTTAGTTATGAGAAGATTCTAGAACATGGACTTTTTTTTTTGTTGGTTCGTGTTATGATTTTAATCTTGTGTTCCTGAAGTCACCCATGTTACAGGCTACTAGTCATAACTGGTTACTAGTCTGTGTCACCACTAGGAAAAGGTGGGACCCTTAGGAGGTGGGGCCAAAGGGAGGAAGTTAGGTCATTAGAGGTATTGTCCTTGAAGGGGATCCTGGGACTGGAACTGCTGGCCTCCTCTTTACTTCCGAGTACCAGGCAAAACTGTCCAATGCAGTTGGGATGAAATTATATATTCATATAAATGTCAATGAATTAACACATGACACACACACACATACTGTGTTTAAAATCTGTCTTTACTTCACCAATTTACTGGATTACTTTGTCGCTCTGTCTTCTCTTGTAGAACATACAAATCAATGTCGTGGAATGATCTCAAATAATAGATCTCTCTCTCTCTCTTTTTAATTCCCCTATTTCCTATTCTGGTTTCAGTCATAAAACAAAAAAAAATTAGAAAAAATAGTTTATTTCTGTTGAGGTCTGAAAATAAAATATCCTCCACTGGCTCATGTGGCTTGGTGCTGATGTTTTGTGAGGTTCTGGGAAGTTGAGGAGACAGGACCTGGCTGGAGGAGGTAGTTCAATGGGGCGTGTTGTGGGAAGCTGTATCCTCCACGGCCCTTTCTATCATTCTTGCTCCCTCCTGCCCTCTCCCACCCCCACCCTGTCCACGAGGTTAGTAGCTTGGACCACATACTCCCACCTTCATGATGTAAGTTCCTTTTCTTCACTACGTCCCCCTGACAGGATGGACAAAAACTTCCCACACCATGAATCAAAACGAATGATTCCTCCCATTCAGTTTTTTATTCAAGGAGTTTTGTCACAGTGGTGAGAGAAGTGATTCTGATATTAAAACAATTCTCAAGCCTGTTTATGTCAGTTACACGTGTTACTGTAACTGTAATTTAATTAAGATTACTTATAAAGTGTCTCTGTAGTTTTTATATGAAAACAGAATTAGATGTATTTGATAAAAAAAAATCTGATGAATTTAATTACAGGGAGGAAAAATTCTAAATCATTGTTGGAAATCAAAAGTTAGGTAAAGTGGGGGGAGGGAGAGAGAGGGAGAGGGAGAGGGAGAGGAAGAGGGAGAGGGAGAGGGAGAGGGAGAGAGACAGAGAGAGCACTCTGCTATTCAGAGCACACATTGCTCTTCCTGAGGACCTGGGTTTGGTTCCAAGCACCCATGTCAGGCAGTTCACAACTCCTTGTAAGTTTAGCACCAGGGGATCTGACATCTTCTTCTCCCATTTGGGTACTTGCACGTGTATACACACACACACACACACACACACACACACACACACACACACACACCCATACCACACACACCTGAAAATTAAAATACACCATTAAAAGTTTTTTATAATAAAGAAATGATTCATGTTTGAGGAAGTAGATACCTTTAACTTGATTAAATAACTTATAATCATTTTTTTATTGTAAAAACTTGCAAAAATCCTTTCTTCTACCTCTGAAAATGCTGCTGTCATTTAAGGGGTGACATTACATTGCAATGGGGATTTATTTTTACTGGTGTAAAAATCTAAAGAATTTACAACAATCTTATTGTTTACTGGAATGAATTCATCAGAGCATTAATCCATCGATGATGTTGCTGCCCTCAGGATCCAATCATCTCTCAGTAGTATACCAGGTTGGTGGGCAGAGCCTTCAGTGTCTAAGACTGTCAAGGGAGATGCTTAATATCCAAACTATAACACTTCCCAGTTGTGTTTGATTTTGTTTCCTCTTTAACATAAACATATGTAACTGATGCAGAACATGAATTGTCCGTGTTAATGATGGTACTGAATCAGCATTTAGGCAGTCGAGTCTGGTTGGGAAAACCATTTCGCTAGGAGAATGCCTTTGAGGGGAATAGCTTTGTCTTTCTATTTTTGTCTGTCTGTCTCCTTTTTGCCGTCAGGTGAGCGGTGTGGTTCCATCATGGCTCTTGGCTGTGATTATCTCACCATGGCCCAGAGCAGCAGAACCAGCTGACCATTGACTGAAAGCATGAGTGAGAGATCAATGCTTCCTCCTTCATGTAGGTCTTAGCGGATATTCCGTCATAGCGGCACAAGATGAACTAACATGAGATGTGGATGCTTAGAAGTAAAGTAGTGGCTGTGACTCCCTCACTGTGCAATGTCTAAGTCTTTGGAAATGATTTGTGGGAGGAACTTGGGAAAAAAAATGGAGAAAAGACTCCAAAAGTACTTAAAATTCTGTGAGGAGAGAACACTAGTAGGGTGATTCCATGGAGAACTCTAAAGACCAGACTGCTGACAGGATCATTAACGATTGCTCATGAGGTTCAGATGGACATGAGGACACTCTTGGAGGAGAGAATGATTATCACATTCTGAGAAAGAACATGTCTATACTTCCCCCCGTGTCCTGAATCTTTGTGAGATGCCAAATTTAAAGGTCATGGACCAATCTGATGGAAGAAGTTTTAGTGTTTAGACTGGCATGGATACTGTTCATTGTTTCCATACAGATTTACAGTGAGAATCAGGAGGAAAAGGCAGAGCAGAAGGGTTTGACCAACTTGGAGTTTAGGTTTAAAAAAAAGAGGAGCTCTTTAAGGCTGAAAATAAAATGAGTTTGCTGAGTAGACTAGTGCCATAAAAACTAGCCAAGTACTTTGCATTGGGACAACAAGAAAGATGCTTTGGTAGCATCTCAGCAACTAGCCAGTTCCCATCCATCAGTGGCTCAAGGGTATAAAGATAGCAAGCCTTTGAAAGACTTTGATTGGAGAAGATCACCCCAGGGAACCTTTCATGCACAGGTTGCCAAGGAAAGTGTTTCTCTGAGCTCAGCTAACAAAAACTTAGAAACTGCTCTAGCTGTGGTCTATGCGGGTCTAGTCACTGCTCAAGTTGGCCACAGACCTTGATGCTGATTTTGCTGCCTTGAGTCTCAGAAGAGAATGAACTTGGACTTTTATGCAATGCTAGCTAGAGGCTCTGGGAATTCCTGGAGATAGACTGAATACGTTTTGCATCTTGAGTTGGGTATGAGTCCTCTGGAAGTCAGAAGTGGAATGTTTAGTTGAAATATGAAATGCACCTTTGCCCTGCTACCTCCAGGTTTGTGTGTTGAAGGCTTGGACCTCAGCTAGGGATTATTGAGAGGTAATCAAGTCATGACAATGGGTTAATCCTTTGTTAGTTTACAATGCATGAACCAGTAGGAAGTAGAGCTGAGTGTAAGAAACAGAACACTGGGCATTACTGTGGAGGGTATAACTTGTCCCCAGCTCCTACTTGTTTTCATTCCTGTTTCTTGGCTGCCATAAGGTGGGCAACTTAATTTCTCTACACCCCTTTGCCATGATGCTCCATGATACACGCTGGAGTCAGCTGACCATGGATCGAGACCTCTGGAACCACCAGCTCAAATATATCCTCCCTTGAATTGTTTTCATTAGGTCTGTTGTCTCAGAAATGGAAAACTAATGCAGAAGTAGCAAACTGCATATTATAGGTATAGTTTAGAGAAACAAAGACTTGAAACTCTAATCCATAGAACCACACTCATATGACGGCCTTAAGTTTATTGGTAAGATTGTCAACCTTTCAGATTAAGTCTTTATGATACAGATTTGAATCAATTTCTAGGATTTCCATATTAGTGAGTTATTTTAATAAATGGACTTTTCAATTAGTTCCAGCTTATTATCATAAGCAGATAAAGGGCTTTTACTGTAGAGCTGTTAAAGCCATGTTCTTTGTATTACTGCTAGCACTGCCTTGAAATTTGTTAAAAAAGAATCCTGGACTCCACCTGGAGATAATGTCTGGGATGTGTTTCCAAAACTCTCCAGGAGACTGTGAGACATAATGGGGTCTGAGAAACATTGCTCACATATTACTGTTCACACATTACTGATGCTCCTAGAATAGATATGACTCACCCCCCCAAAAAACCATGGGTCAGAATGTGCAAGGGATCCCAGTGTTTTCTTTTCATTCTCATTCTGTAATCCTGGTTTTAGAGAGGTTTTCTAAGGAAATAATTCAAAGTAAGATGGAAATCTGAATAAAACTTTCTCTGCATGAAACATGGTACCACTCTCTTTGATACCGAAATCACTGAAACCACAAAGAAAAACATAAGAGTTTGTAAACTAGTTAAATATTTACAAAGTTAAAAATGCAACATTCACCATGGTTATATGCTACAAATATTAACAAACTCTCAGAACGACCAGTTCCATTACCTTAGAGCAGTATTTGATGGTAATGTAGTTTTCATACTTAAAACTATCTTACTATAGCTGTAATTTTTATAAAAAAAATACTTAGTTATACAAATTGAAAGCATCATTTAAAACCCACTCAACACTCAATGTACAACCCAAAGACTCTTACAACCATGCAAAGCACTCCTATAACACCACTAGCCAGCTGCTGCATGAAAAGCACCCAGATGTACTGTCCTTTCCACAGATGGGCAGCTGGAAAAGTCAGTCTTAGGTAAGGATGCTGTCAGTACCTGAGTTATCTTCATCCTTGCGGATTTTGAGCTTCACCAGGTCTTCACACTGCTGGAGGATCTGGACTGCGTCTTCCATGGAACAGTTGTCCAGCCGGATGTTATCTATCGCGAGCAACTTATCCCCAAGTTCCAGCGTTCCAGTTCTGTGAACAAGGGCACAGTACTGCGTGAGTTATGATGAGTACTCACGCAGGCCATTTTAAGAGGCGTTGAGCACAATGCAGTGTTCGGGTGACCCTTAGAGTGAAAGGTTTTCAACTGTTTTGAAATTGTACTTCATTGACAAGCATCCATTTTTCCCAGTCTTATTTGGGGGTGGTAGCTATGGTGTTAAATTGCATATTATTAAAACATCTTCCTTATGCTTTCTTCAACTTAACCTAGTCATCCACTCAGGAAGTCTAGAGCTCCTTAGGGGGGTATCAGGTACAAGAGACCCCAAATGTCCTTGTGTTCCTCTCAACCTTGATGCACACTCTTGATGCATGGTCGTCAGCTCCTAGGAGAGAGATAAGGGAGTCAGGGAAGTCCAGGTGGGTCAGAGCCAGTGAGAACTGGGTCTCGGACCTTGGCTGTTTCTTCATGTACCTGGAAAGTCACTGAGGCTGGAGAAAGGGACAAACATATAGATGAATCTGACGGAGCTATTTGGAAAATGGCCTCAGAGAGTCCAATACTGGTTCTGGATTACTTGCTGGTCTGTCGGAAGTCTTAAAAGTTCATAAATCAATGACAAGAGGAACGAGAACGTCATATATATGTGTTCTTTAAGGAGCTCTCCTTCACATTTTATGTCTGTGTTAGAGTCTACTAATTATTTCCCAATATTCATTTTCTTTTCTTCTGCAGCAACCCCAGTCCCTTCCCACTTATGGACAGGAAATAGGAATAGCAAGTAGGTGTCATGGCTTCCCAGCTCTGGACTCCCTGCCCACTTTCCACCTGTTACATGAGAAACAATTATTTTTATCCTTCTTTGATATACAGGATACTAATAATTTACTTTTCAACACAGCTGTGCCTATACTATATATCTCAACTCTAACGATGTCCTCCATGGTCCTTGTTTGATACACGATACTAATAATTTACTTTTCAATATGGCTGTGCTGATACCATATTTCTGAACAATGTCCCCCATACTTTTTTTTTTTTTTTT